TATGCATGTATGCATACATACCTACATACATACATACATACATACATACATACATACATACATGTATGGTTGTATGATTGTATGAGTTTTATGTATGTATGTATATGTGTGCGTGCACGGTGGATACGCACATGTGTGTTGGCCCATGTACATATGAAAACCGCTCAGGAACACCATTAGCAGATTAGCAGCTATACCTGCTTGAGTTTTGCGCGTGTTGTTAAGTGAGCGCTATTCGTCTCAAATAAGGAGGAGCCCCAAGCCTCTTCACACAAATGAAGATGATTCGGGTGCGCAGGGCGCTCCTTCAAACCCCCAAACCCCAAAAAAAAATTACCTCAACACCGCTGGTCGCTACTGTAAACTCTATATCGCTGAATCCTCCAAGACCCGAACCCCTGGCCTGCTTCAACACCTCTAGGTGCCTGCGGTCTGTGTTGTCGTCAATCTTCGGCGCCCGCGGAGCCAGAAGGACCTCTGGTGGCAGGAGGGTTGGGTGGAGGGCAGGGGTAGTGTGAGGAAAAAGGGGGCCGCACAGGGTGAGGTGGGTTGTGGAGGGGGCGAAACTTGCAGATTCAGGGTTCTGAGCTTCGGCGTTATCTCTAAGGGCTTGGGAGCTTGCAGCTTTGAGCTTCTGATTCAGTCTTCAGCTTTGCAGCTTTTAAGGCGTCGCTTGCTCGCCTACCTCGTTTGTCACACAAACTAGTGTGAATATTGCAATCGCAACTTACACTGCAAATCCCACTGTCTGACTGCTTTCTGCAGGCCACTACCTTGTTGTGATAACATCATTCAGGCGACGAGCCAAGCCAGTAGCGTTGCAATGACCATGGTTGTTCTGAACGGGCGCTCTGGCTACTAACAAGTCACCTGTTGGGATGGACATGTCCACGCCATTAAGCTTGTATGTTCCCATCTATAACTGAAAATATGTTGCATCCCCCCACCCTCTAAGACTCTAAGATTCCCTCCAATACTGCCACATTTGCGCCACAAGTCCCAGTGGTCCCTACTAGGGTCCGGGGTTCCTTCCCTTGGAAGAAGTAACAAAGTGAAACAGATTGTCTGGTAGGTTGTGAAGACCCAGACCCAGCTCCAGGGCTAAACCTTGCAAGAATTTCCTTTGTTGAAATAGGACTTGGTATCTATGACTCGACACCGCATACACATATTTTGAATGAAATTACATCAGCTTCCCAAAGCAGTAGCAAATCCCAAAGAACAAAGGGATCGCCCAACACAATGAAGCGACCGTCTAGGAAACTCGCCTGATCGCACTTCTCAAAATAGGGAATCCCCTTGTTGCCCCAACGTAGTAGAGGCTTCTTTTAAAAGACCTGGGAAGGAGGCCCACAAGTTGGTGAAACATTCCCTACCGCGGTAGATCACAACTAGCTAGGCAAATTGCGAGACCCAAGTCTGCTCTAGAATAATGACAGACTATAGGGGTTTACCTGGTTCCGACCAATCAAATTAGAGGAGATTACTTCCACCTGGGGTTCTCCCTACCGAGGATCATAATAATCCCAGAGCCCAGCATTCAAGGGTCTGGCAGCTGCTTTCGGCAGTTCGAGCTTCCCTTCGGAATTGCCAGGCCTTGGGGTGTATGGGATATTACCCCTATAATGGAAAATGAATGGAAAATGAAATGGAAACTGGGGTCATAGAGTTGCTTGTAGGGATTAAGGTTTACACAATAGGTTGTCAAAATTCTGGTCATTTGGTTGGGTCCCATTTTCATACGGACCCTCATATTGCGGATACCAACACAAACCTACAGATTTGAAGAGCGAGATCTGGGATAGGTAGCACAAGTCTGCAAGCAGGCCAATCTGCAGATTCTGCAGGCAGTAGATTGCAGCCATCCGTCTGCTAGGCAGGATTCAGCTCCCTCAAAGAATCTCCCGGTTACTGTGTGCCTGCAGATGGCAACCCTCAAGCCTGGAACGAGTTTCTGCATACATGAAAAGATGAGAATGAGTAGGAGTGAGGGCTTTCCCGCCGTCATAATGTCGCGCTGACTCAATGTTCGAGCACGGAAAAAGAGCGATGTCGGCAATGAAAAATCATAACTCCGCATCAAATCGGACTTCAGAAAAGAAAACAATTAACAACTGGGGTGCCCACGTGCCATGGACCCATTCGATTGCGAAAGAATCCGTGGTGGCAGTCTTTCCTTGAAGGCTGGAAACAAGATTGTACTTACATAACTTACATATAAGGGCCTAAATCATTACCAATATCATTTGAGGTCTAGCCGCGATATTGGCTCATACCAGGAAACCCTACACAATCCCTTTTCCATCTCACGTTGCATGCTCTTCTCCGTTTGATTTTGCATTCTTCCAACCCTAAGCCCTAAACTCTACATATCCCTATTGGGTGAGTATTACATACCACGCCCCGGGCCTCAGAGGCAGAGAAGCTATGGCTTGAAGCTTTGCAAAACTTAAACATGTTGCGGCGCGCGGCTTCAGATTTCGGGGCCTCCATAAACAGAGGGCCCCAATATAGACTCCAATACACTGCAGGCCATATAGACTGCAATATACTGCAATCCTTATTGCGGGAGCACAGCTGCGGAGCTTTGAGGGAACCCGCCCTGTCACGGAACTTTGTCTACACTCTCGTTGCGACATGCTCATTTTGAAGTCGCCGCAGGCACTTCTCAAAGTAGGGGCTGGACCTTTGCCATTCTAACGGGTTTGAGGGTGTAGGGTTTGATTCCGAACGTGAATCAGCTGGGGCCACATAAATATCTGCTTTGTGTGCTTCATGGGGTGTTAACATTCCGTCAAATCCCAACTTCTGCCCAATACTTGGAGGGTCAGGGAGACTTAGTAAGTAGGTTAATAACCCCTATAACCCAGATAGTAACCCCATTGACCCCCGTTATTCTAAAGTTGTGATCAAATGAAAGTTTCCCAGAATAGGGGGAGACCCCTAATATGGCACCCCTAAATGTAGGAAACCCCCAAATGGACCTTTAAACCCTACACCCTCAAGACAATACTCCCCCAAATGGCCTTTTTTGTAAAGCTTTCCTCAAAGCGTCTTAGGATGGCCGGTCGCCACTCCACCGACCTGCCCTGCTCTGGCTTTGCCTCATCCTGGGAGAAATTTAAGGTTGGAATTGCAGGTTTAGGGTATCGCGTATAGGGTTTTGGATTTACGGTTTCGGGTTCAGGGTATAGGTTTAGGGTATAGGTTATAGGGTTTTCAGGGATCATTAAGGGGTTATATGATGGGTGTAGGAGTCTGAATATTTGCAAGATCCTGGACAATCAGATGGGACATGAAACAGCAACTGGGCTTACGTAGGAGTTATAAGGATAATAAGGTAGGGCCTAAATGACTAGAATAGAGCATTGCGGTACAGTCTACTGTAGTTCTAGAAGGGTTAAAAGTTACAAGGGATGAAAAATGTTGTGTTTTTCAAGCTTCTACGCTAGGATTGCGCAGAGCTTCCGGTTTGGGATCAGGGCTTGCTTAAATTACGGTCCATGCTTCGGGTCATGGGCATAGCGTTGCAGAAGCAGTGGGATCAATGAGCAGGTCAACCTGCTTATGCCTAGGTAGGTGTCTCACGAAGCACTAGCGCTTTAGTTTTACAGCAACTATAAGGGGACACAAGCTATAACCTGGTTTACCTTGAGTGTTCTCCTACCTAGCTTGAGACAAACTCACCAAGGCCCCATGAACCGGTCTGAGAAATATCTGACATCAGGATTGTTGGTTGAAGCCCAAATTGCGCCTTCGCACCATCATCTGCCTTCTGCGCGCCGTCGCCCTGAACAAGGCTCTTGTACTAGCACTACGAGAACTGAACGATCACGCTCTTGACTCCATATGTAACTTACAACTCGTAACACGAACCAGAGTAACTGCTTCGCGGTGGCGGCAGCTGCTGCTGCCTTTGCTACTGCCCTTGTTGCTGTAACTTTGTTGCCATCGTCGTTGTCAGTATCGGTCATCAGTATGCGTTTCCGTCGCGGCCACCACCCAGGTCGTTCGTAGTCATTGCCGCCCTCGCAATTACCATTGCGCTTGCTGCTGGGATTGTTAGTGCTGTGTGGCTGCTGCGTTTCTGCAGCGTGTACAAGTCGGTGGAAGTCAGGGCTTCTATAAACGCATATAGAACAGTGAAAGAATTCATCTTCTATGCGCCGGTGCTAAGGAAGTAAAGGACACCTTGTGAACGTACTTCGCCCATCCGAAGCATCGGTCAACCTCGTTCAGGTCCTGCACCAGAGGAAGCTTGTCACGGACGTACAGAGTCCAGACTTCAGGTTTCGGGATGAGAAAAGGTTGGGGTTTTGGATTGCAAGGACGCCCACACCATGAGTTAGGGAATATCTGGACTTAATTGAAGCTCTATCTCTGTAATAAGGGACATTACCATACGAAAAGGGCTCTACTTCGGTACTTCTTATTACGGGGTGTACCATAGGGTGATCAGGCTTTTTGAACTTTAGATGGCTTGAAGCTGCCTATGTCATCAAACTGGCCCCTTCTCAGATATTGTCTAGATGATTCTAATTTTACGATTTTAGGCCAACAGCTTCCACAAGCATATGGGGCAGTTCCATGAATACGGGGCCCCAATACAGACCACATTATCCTAGACTCCTTACTACAATGACTTCCAAGAATGGGCCTCCAATTTCTGGCAGAAAAAATCAGCTTTGCTACTATGTGCACGCCTTTGTGGTTACTTGCAGGCAAAAAACTTGGAGGCTTGTGCTTCCTACATATTGCAGTGTCCCGCGACCTTCCCCCATTTGGTGTACCCACAGGGGCTCTTTACTGTGGTAGATAAGGGGTTTGGCGGGGAGTACCGCTTTGAAGCAGAGCTGAGGAAGCTTATGACCATAGAAAATATCTACGCATCGCGAGTGTGCCACATCTATTAAATCTCCACCACCCCTGGCCAGATCCTGAAACATAAAACCTTCAAACCCTTAGTCTCTGAACACTCGCAAAGACAACGCATCGCTATAGTACCTCAATGGCGCCAACAAAGGACTCCGGATTTTGACAACCTCCACAGCGGGCATAAGATATCCTTCAGGGCAATTGTTCGCTTGTCTTCCAGCCACTTCTGGTATCGAGGATTGACAGCCTGGCCAAGCGATAAACTTTGTCTTGCATGAGCATGCTTCTAGTTCAGAGTCGTTGAAATTATTTTTGTTGGGCTTAGGCTTTCGGGATTTGGGGCTGGGCTTTATCTCTTGTCTTGACTTGTTCGTGAAGGGGCGCTAACTGCACCAAAGCCTCATGCCAAAGGCCCCGCGATTCAACTTACTAACCTCCAGACCATTGAAGCAGCAAGCCCTAAAATCCTGACCTATGAGCCCTTCTGCTAGCCCCCTCCAACCGAAAGCTGCAAGACAATGACAGGAAGGCAACGCCGCTGTGATTCATGCCGAAAATGCCCCCTGTATTTGACAGTACTTGTTTTGGACGTCTTATGTATTAGGGGGGAGGGAGTTGTTATTCTGCGGTTAATCAACAGTGTGCATGCCGCTTCCATTTCTGGAATAGACCTTTGGGAGCCACTTGCGAGCCTTAATGGAAAATTGGCCACCTCGAAGCAATCAACCTGTTCCGGGCCTCAGTAACTCGCGACCCTAAGTTTTTCAACACGAAGCTCTAACCCTGAACCCTCAACAGCAAACCCTGATCCCCAAAACTGCGAAACAATGAAAGCTGACCCCATCCCTGAAGCACCCCAAAACCTTAAACCCCTGACAATCAAAAACCTCAACCCTTGAACCCTGACCCCTTGTGGCCTTGTATCCCTCTGTTGCTTCAACCACTCGGAGCATGACTTTGCTGTTCCCGAAGCCGAACTGCGCCGTAAGCTTCGGGCAAGTTCAGGATTTCTGGGGTAGGGGCCCAGGGATTCGTAATAAGGAATGCTATGTCTGCACAACAGGGGTTCTGCAATACAAACCAGTAATCCGGCAAAATGATCCAAAGATCTGTCCATCTGCGTTTAGAAACACAGCCCCTGCGACGTTTCTGCCAAACATAGTTGGACTGAACATCTGCAGCAACAATGCGAGTTCAGCTAACTGGCAGTTCGGCTGCCTGCGAAACACTGTCAAGTTGGCAGTATGGTTCCTTCTACAGACCAGGTACCCTTGCAGAGCCGAGGTTTATATAGGGATTATGATAGAATGGCAAGTCCCCTTGATGGCATTCTTATGAATAGCTTGCATGCCAAAGTTGCTCCACCGCCAACTGTCCGACATGGATGTTCTCATGCCAGGGTGTTTGTGTTTGGTGGGGATGCTGTTTGCTCGCCCACCCCCCTAGTCATCGGATCATAATTCTGCAACGTGCTATGAAATCAAATCCGACTTCTCATCGCCTCAGGCTCGGGCATGATGAGTTTGCGACATGAATGATACGTGGGCAGGTGTGCGAGATGTGTAAGGGTTACGTTGCTCCCACCCACTAAGAGTGACCACCAGGGACAATGGCAGCAATATCATGGTCCCTAGCACGCTTGAGAATTCTGTTACGCCAGATCACGGGTTCGACGACACAATTCCAATCATTCGCTGGCTTGCAGTCTCAAGGCCCCAAATGATTGATGAATCTGCCCCGATATACACCAGTACGAGAGCTGAAGCATGGCCGATGCTGCGAAGCGGGGCCCTTCCTTGATTTGGGTTTAGGGCATTAGGGGGTGGAATTTAGAGGCCAGGGTTTGGAGCTCAGGGTGCTGGCCCTGTCGACGATTCTGAACCAGGAACATTTCTTCAAAGTTAATGAGAGCCCCCCCGAAAAGCACTGCTTCCCAACCGGGAGCAGCACCTACGCAAACCCGCGACTACGATGGAGCATTCAAACAAATAGAGGGTGGAATCGCAGAAGTGTACTGCGCTGGGAGCATTGCTGAAGTGACAGTACTTGGGAGTTCTGGCTTTTGAACAGGCTGAAACAAAGCCATATGCTGCACGCCCTCTTTTGCAAATCTGAACACCGAAACTTGACCCGTCCGTCACCTTGCTGATGTACTGCGAGAAGGAATTCCTCGCAAGCGTCTGACTTCTGCTTTACATGGACGCTTTGAGAACTGGAAGGAGCGTTGGCAGCTGTCTCAGATGGCCTGGGTTTTGGGGAAGTGTCTTGCGTCAGGGTATTCAGCAAGAAATGTGTCGAGAAGTGCTGTGCGCATGCTTGACTGGCGTATGCATGGGCCAAGGAACCTTCTCAAACTGCCAGCACCCAGCACCAAAACACGCAGAAACAAATCAAAGTCAGCAAAGCTGGCTCTCTGAACTGCAACCCCACAAGTAGCAGTTGCTTCACGCGGGCATTGCAAACCAAAGTTCCGGGCGAGCTTGAGGAAGCCCCCTCCCCTGCATCCTTGAAAGTCCTACAATACCACTTGCAGAGCTGGTGGTCATTGGAGAAACGTCCTCAAGGGTTAAAGTCTTTGGGAATAGCTGCTGCTACCGCAAAGCCTGGTTCCGCTCATAGCTGTTGTATTGGGAATAAACCTCCCAAAGAAGAGCCTCCTTTGGATGAATACCAAAACCTGTAAGTCTGAGCATTTCCAAACGTTGCCAACGGTATGCGAGGAATCTAGGGGAACAAATCTGCACTCCGTACTGTAGGAGAAACCACAACAGCGCCCTTCCGGCCATTGCCTCGCTTCCTAGACCCGACTCCATAAACCCCAAACATCCCCAAACCATAATAAATCCCAAGCTCGTATACCCGAAATGCTAATCCCCAAACTCTAGACCCAAAAACCGTCATCTCTAAACCCTGAACCCAATAAGCTGTCAGCGAGGTGCTCGAAGTCCAGGGGTTCCCAGCTCATGGGATCCTGGAGGGAGAGCTCCTGCCTCAGCGCGGTTTGGTACTTCAAGGCTTTGGGTAAAGAATGGCAGGTATGGGGCTAAGAGGCTTAGAGTTTGGGGTTTGGAGTTGGGGGGTCAAAGCGGTGGGTTGGGTTTGAGGTTCACGGCTTAGAGTTCAGAGCTCGAGGCTTCGTTCAGGGCTTGGGGTTCAAGGGCATAGGAGTTAGGATATGCACATGGGTTCGGGGCTTCGGGGCCAGCTTTAAGGGTTTAGGGTTTATGTTCTAGGGATTAGGCTTTAGGGTTCGGGGTCGGAGTTACGGCTGCTAGCTTGGGAAAATAATCGAGGTCCGAGGAACAACAGACAAGACAACGTCATCAATCGCACGGATGGTCATGGTGACAAGGGGTTGTATTTTAACCCATCATCAGTAGCTCATCTCAAAAGGTTGTTCAAATTCTATCGATTTACTCGATCTTTGGCGTGATCCTTTCAGTGACTCTTATACTGTTTCCAAACGGAATGCATGCGCTGCAGTTGGCCCATGCGAATGGTACCGAATCTGTGTGGGGATGTTCTACTATCCCAATAGCAACTGGGGAAGTTCTGTGTACATGGTAACACAACATCTGCAACATACTTGCGGCTCGCAGGTGTAGTTGCTTTTGTTTGATGTGCCTGCTTCTCGTCTGTTTTGACCACTTTTGCATGGGGTAGGATTCGAATTTCGAGATGCCGTGAAAGGTTTGCGGGGTGACATTCTTTAAGAGCCCTCCAGGCCCTTAAGCCTGGACACCTCTCTTCCGGTTGAGATTGGAGCTGACATGCTGCGCTCCCTCTTGGGGGACGGGCTTCGGGCTCACGGTCTGGGGTGCAGGATTGAAACTCCGAACCCCAACCGCGAAACCGCAGCTCTACATCGTTTATTTCCTGAGGAATTCTGGCATCCACCATAGTTAGCCCTGAAGCGCGAGAGGCAGCCACTCCCTGAGGACCCAACGCATGCATGTACTCCTTGCTCTTTTGAAGGCCCTTTTTCTGCATCTGAACCACCTGCAAGCTCATGAGGGGATGCTTTTCTTGATCCCACGCCCTACACTCTGCATGGTGCTTTGACGCTGATGGGGAGGGATCCTATGCCCCCTATGACACACATGAGTTTTAGAAACTATAACCTCAGCACAAACAACAGGGCTTGTGCGGCACATGTTCGCTCATGGATCCTGACGACAGCAATTGGACAGCGGATGGTGCTCACCATAGGAGGATGAATACTGTCGTAGAGTACTTGGAGCAGAAAATAGGGCATGGAGTCGAGTAAGAGCAGAAGCGCAGAGCCTTCTACAGCTATCACAAGCCCAGAAGGCTTTAAGTCATCGGCGTGTGACCAGACCCCGCAAAGAAGCAGGCTGTAGTCTCCATAGCCAGACAACAAAAAATGGTCCCTTTTCTTAGCAGTCCCGCCCGGGTTTAAGAGGACAAGAGTAGCTGTGGGTCTATAGTATATAGTCCAGATAAACAGCCCTGACATGAAGCTTCTAGCGGCTTTGGGTTCGGGCGCATCCAATTTGCATCAAATTTTCTGAGGACAGGCACAGCAAAAGTTGAAATCGGCAGCTTTGCGTTTGGGACAGTATGAGCTGTTGCTGCTATACACCAAAGAAAGATCTCAAGAGCGGCAGATGTCATGTTCAAGTTTACCTGAGGTCCCCTATACCATACTTAGACAAGGAATCTAATTAGGACCTTTGTACAAGTAATCATCCCTATAAACCTGTATGTAACCACATTTTCCATGTATTTTTGCAGTCTATCACCCACTTGACTTTCCACTGTTGGATAAATACTTGCAATCATTCACGTCCCTACATCATTCTCCTGCCCGCAGGCCTTGTCAGACGGCACGTGAGCCATCACCAGGTAGCGATGGTTCATCTCAATGTCTGCATACCTGGCATACCATTTGCTGTCAAAGTAGCCGATATAGCAACTGAAAGTATGGTGGCTTCTACTTTATTTTCCGTTTCTTTGTTCCCTATTAACTTTGAGAAAGACAAGCTCCCATGGCTTCAGATGTTCTGTTGATGTCTGAGCAGTATGGCCCGGTTGTTTACGACTCTCCCCAAGACAAGGCGCGGTAGCTTCCAGCAAAACATCCTACTCTGTGCACGCGTACACGTTCATTCCCAAACTCTAGATATATTTGTTTTCTTGAACGCATGGCAAAGACTTACAATCGAGGCTGACAAATCCAACGCACCCTATCTGATTTATCTTACATTTGCTTAAATGCGCTTCGCATAGGACCCCGTCTTCGTGCGCGTAGCTCACATGCCGACAAATGCAGAGAAATAACTTCGGGGTCGCTCAATGTTACCATGGAGATTCCAGCTGTCCAGGCGGATAGACTATGCAAGGCTTGAAGAAACGTGGAGACCCAAACGCCGAGCCTTTGACCTGAGTAAAATGACCGCAGACTGGCAAGGCAGTAAACACACA